GAAACGGTATATGGAAAGATTTAAAAAGAATAATAACGAGAAGTATGAAGTTCAAAGTAGTAAATGAAGCCGGTGTAGGGGAGTATCGTAACAGCTATTTCTAGGTGGATAGGCTTTACTGTTACTGAGCAGCTCTGGTTTAGGTGCTTCATTTTGCTCCAGAAAGGAGCAGGTAATTTCCCTGGCTCTCCACAGAGGCCGCAGCATTCTGGCAGTGCCTGTGCAGCAGCTGGGTATCCTGCAGCTCAAATGGCTGGTGCTGAGAGGGAGGAGGGCAGTAAGAGACACCAGAGCTGTTGCAGGGACTCGGGAGATGCTGTGTGTTTGTCCTGTGCCACAGAGCAGATTCTGACTGAAGTCCAAGCGCTCTGACATGGTAGAAAACCGGATTCAGTTAACATTTCCCTGAATTTCAGAACCCGAGGAATATTTGTTACGGAGTTTCATTTTTCTTGTCAAAAAGCCTGTGAGCTGTTCTAAAATACCTTGACAAATTTCGGTTTTGCAAAGAAGTGATCATTATTGGTGTGACTTATTGCCATAATGTCACATCACTCACTAACTTTTCTACTGCTTTTTCCCCCCAACTGCTTGTCAGTTCATTACTGCCTTTATGTTGCTTCAGTTTTACTGAAAAGAAATTGGACAGAAAAAATGTATGTGTGGAATTTCTTGCCATGTTGAACACCAAACCATCTGATGGGGTACTCTGATGAAGATAAGTGCTGGGTAGGCCGGCCTGTACCAGCTGCTGCTTTGAGGGAGTTGGAGGAAGTGAACCTGTTAAGTTTTCTTCCTCTCCACTTCAATCAGTTTTGGCTGTTTTAGTTCAAATGGCCAGGGAAAGCCGAACCTTCGTGTGGCTGCTGAAGAGCTGTAGTTCAAGTCTTGTTGCCTAAGTGTCTCCCTCAGGTGTGTATTCTGAGGCGCGTTTGCTCAGCGCAGGTATAAACCCTTCCGAAGCAGTCGAACCTGGTCTCCAGAGCAGAGGCCAGGCCAGGCCGGCGCCGGCCGGCGTGCTGGGGCTGCTGGTGGTCAGCTCTCTGCCGTGAACGGGGGCGGTGGCTGGAGCCTGGCTGTCAGACCCCACTGCTCGGGAAGAGCTGTCGTCTGCAGCGCCACTTAACAGTGTTTGCACTGATTCCATTCTTTTGGAAGGCCAAGTCTTGAATATGGTAGGAGGTGGCAGCTTAAAAATTGTTTTCACCCTTAGCACTGGTCTCAGTCCAAGCCTTACTTTTCAGGTTTTGAGAGGAAGTGGTGACCATTTAAATGCTGTGCTCTGACTTCCTGGATGCTTTTTGTGGAGACACAGTGATCGATATGTTGAGCAAAGCTTGTGAAGAAATTCTGAGACACCTGTGAGCCTCTTCCTGGTGCCGCGTTCAGCATTTCAATGTGGCAGATGCTCAGCAGCCCAGAGCAAAGTTGATGAAGGAGATACAGATGAACAGGTTGAAGATAAGCAGAAGCAGCATATGAAAGGACAATTCCAGATTCCAGCAGACAGCAGTGCTCCCGGGTTCCTCTCTGTTGCTTTACTGAAAATAGAGGAAAAACTTAAGCAATTCAATTAAAATAGAGGGAAAAATTAAGCAAATTTTTTATTCTTGCTCCTCCAAAATTAATTTTCCATAGCGTTGTATATGCTGATCTTGCACCACTATACCCAAAGCAACAAAGGAATTTTTTAAATTCAGTTGAGTAATTTCTTTTTTCTTGATGAACTTACACTAAAGAACCCTGTGGGGGGTTGATGGCTTACCCACAGCCGGGCTGAAAACTGTAAGCCTGCTATTCAGCTCTTGCATTGTTAAACGATGTACCACTCCTTTTCCTTTAGAAGAAAATCTCATCACTTAAGACTGATTTGTCAGTGTAAAAGCAGTTCTGTTGAACTACTTATTAGGTGCTTCATGGTATGTAGTGCAGCGCAAGGCTCTTGCCTATACACAGATAATTACCCTGGATCTCGATCTCATAAGAAACCACAGCACGTGGCTCTGTTCCTCCTAACATTAATCCTGAAGTTGAACCTTGTCTGTGCTGTCAAGTCTTGTTATATGGAAGCCCACCTGTTGTGTTTTTGTTTTTTTGGTTTTTTTTTGTGAATGAGAATGTCTTTTGCTTATGCCTTTTACTAGGCATTGATTTTGAAGAAATAAATTAAAAATATATTAAAAAACCCCAGATGACTTAAAAGGGTGTAAATGTCTGTGTTAAACCAGTAGCAGAATAATCTAGTGGCTGAAATTCAGTGCTTTGACTTGGCTTTGAATTTTCTAGCGTGGTGGGCTGAGCAGGGGTAGTTCTGGCTTCTAAGCATCTGAAGTTTGAATCCAAACCTCTGGATCTCTGCTTGTATTTTGAGCCCCTAATGCTCACCCAGTGAACTGGAACATTTAGACGTGTCAGATTTTTTGAATAGATGTAAAACTAGAGTTACTGTTTACTTCTTGCATTTGTTGGTATGGTCTAAAAAGCAAATTTCACATTAAATATGGATGCTGACGTCCAAGTATCTAGTATAATTTTGCTGGGAGACTTAGCTGCAAAACAGGAAGGACATTTCAAAAACTAAAAATTGAAGCTCCTACCAGCCTTCTAGAAGAACAAAATACTTCAGAGGTAGATTTGCCACCTGATCTTATGGTAGCTTGGGCTTTGTACAGGCACATAAAAAAAAATATGCTGTTATTTTAACTGATGTAAGCACTGAGCTTGAAACCCTTTCTGCCAGAACATTAATGTTATGGGTATGCTGTGAATTCCTGCTCTGAACCTGTCTATGTCAGTTGTACTGACAGATTGAAATCTCTGTACATAAGGCAATTGAAAAATCAAATTTATGGGGGTCTTCTGTGTCTAAAACAATGGGGAAACACATGTTCCATTGTCTCCTTGCTTTATAAACTGTTACTGGTGGGCGATTTCTTTATCATCCCCCAGGGAAGGCTGTCCAGGTTTCCAAGGGCTGTTTGCCTGTCCGCAGCATGTCTCTGTTCAGCCTGGAATGTGTTTGCACCGACTGCCTCTAAAGAGGCCTGGGAAGCAAGCAGCCGCAGCAGCGCTCTCCTTGCCCTCTTTGTAAGCTGCCTCTCCTTCTGGAGCCTCCCTGCTTCCCAGTTCTGTGTGGCCCTCTGAGCTCGACTGGGTAGCTATTTTTTCCTGATACGTTGAACCTCCTCGTGCAATGTCTCCTTCCAGGGATGAAAGGAGCGTGGGCAGCCACCATGCTGGCTGTGCACGGTGGTGCCTTTTACATCTGAACATGGTGTAGCCATGTAGAGACTTCATTTTGAACATTTAAAAAAAAAAAATCTGGTTCATTTACTAGAATTAACTGCTACATACAGCCTTGTATTCCACTATAAAACACATCTATCTTGCAGCACTGATATAGGGTAAGAATAATGATAGGTAGAAAATGATTAGTCATACATATTAAGAATTTTAGAATGCACGTTACAGGACCATATAGCTCGAGAGGAAAGGAAATGGCTAACAGATGGAAAGACTTGTTTTCTATTAATAACAAAACTTATTCACAAACAACGGAAGAGCATCCCAGCTTTATCTAAAGAGAGCAGCCATAAAGAACTAAAATTAGAAAAAGAGGATGACACCTGTCACAAATGCATTGATAAATCTCCTTGCTGAAGAGAAACAGATGATTAACAAGGACGCAATTAGGGCAAATTGGCTAAACTTGCCAAATCACCACATTCTGGACAAAAGGTGAAAAGTGCATTGCGAGGAGGACATACGGCCTTCCTCCCAGAGACCACTGCCCACATCCGGAAGACCCCTGCCCACAATTACCAAGAAGAAACTGCGCAAGCGTGAAGGACTGCTAAGCTAATTAGCATACATTAACATACAACGCCAGAGTAGGCGGGGTTAGGTAATGAATAAGTATAGGCGTGACATGAATGTGTATTGTTTCACTGCATAAATGTGGGAGGGCTTGCCTCCTCGGGCGTGCGTGTTTGTGGTGAAGCGATCCCCCGTGCATCTGCACGCAATAAACATACCTACTGTATAACTTTCAGGTTATAGAGTCTATTTCCATATGTCAGCACTGTACTACTTCTAATTTATTTTCAAATGTATGTAATACAAAAATGATGGCATATTATCTTGACAAATTACTGAGGGATTTACCTTGCTGAAATGGTGTTTTTCTCATCCATGCCTATCAAGAGTTGTTCAGCCCATTTTAATTTGCATGGTGGCTAAAAAGTTGTGTGTAAAAAACCTTGCAGGTGAAGATCTAGCATAGACAGACCAAGAACTTGAACAAATTTTCATTTTAAAGGCAGAATTATATATTACATGTTGACTATAGTCTATCAGTTCAATAATGCTTTTCTATTACTGAAACAGGTTACTACAGAAAGTACTGGAATTTGCTACAATTAAAAAAGTCTAATATGTCTTTCTTGTCAATGTCTACTTCTGTTTATTGCTGCAGCCATGGAATTTTTAATTTTTTTTTTTTTTTTTTAATGTTAGATGCTATTTATGCTGAAGACCTATGAATTTTTTTGGCACTGGATATAGTAACTTGGGCAACTGAGGAAGGGGCAGTAACACAGAAACTTTTCTTGCCTATGGAACTCTGTTAAAAACAAACCTTACTTAACAGTCCAGTTTTGGTGAGAAAAAAAGTTAAAAAGGAGTCATTTGGGAACAATTTTTATAGCCAAGAAGTTTGCTGTTCTGTAGAAAGCAGCAGCAAGTTGTTCCTGGTGTAAACTGTATTTTACAGTGTTTGACCATGTGTTTAATGATTGTGAAGAAAGTGAGTGGATGACTAAAGTATTAGAAGTTAACTGTCAAAACATGCAGTAGTCTGGCCCTGATTCCTGTGTCAATCATAGTGCTGTAGCTAATAAGTGTTTGCCATAGGAGGTGGTGGGTGTTGGTTTGGGATTCCAGACACTGAGAGGGGATTTGTGTCAGTACCTCTTTCCTTCCCCCCTTTTCTTTCCCCATAGGAACTTAAGTTGCCTATGTATAAGGGTCATTCACCGCAGATTAGGATGCGCCGATACTTCATTGATCTCCTGACTGTCCTCAGCAGCCGTTGCAACCTCTGCCCCACGGCCCGGCATCTCGCCAGCTATCTACTGGACCTCTTCATGGACCGCTATGACATCACTGTCAAGCAGCTGCACATCATTTCATTTGCCTGTCTTCTCCTAGCAAGTAAGCTGGCTTCTGTCTGTTAAGGCTTTTTTTTTTTTTTTTTCCCTGAGCAGATGGTTGTTTTTCTTCCATATCATGTGCTGTTTTCTTTATGTTAACAGTTTCCACCTACTTAGGGTAAGGCTTAATGAAGTCCAAGTCAAGGCCTAAAGCAGGTTGTTAATAAACTGCTCAAATGCATAGCTTGTGCTACACATCTGTATGCTGGTGTTAATATGCAGAGCGACTTGTGGCAGCTAAAGCTGGGTCAGTGGAAGGGGACAATGAAGATTGGGGTTGATAGGGTGGGAAGGAAGAGGCAAGACTGGGAGAGGTTAGTTTCAAGGAAGAGTTGGTAGTAAGGAATGACATCTGTCTAACAGGGTCTCCTGGAGATCGTCCTTGGACAGTCTGTGCCTCTGTTGTGGTCACTGGGTATAATTGGTTCCTTGCAAATCATAGGTTTCTTATACAAGGGGCCAAAGGAAAATTTGTTTCTCGGGGTACTTAGTGGACGTGTTGATGATGCTGGAATGCATATTGTTCATTCTGGGCTCCTATCAAATAGCGAGGCACTGCTGTGTAATACTAAAGTTTGTCTTGACATCCATTCAGCAAATATCTTGAAGATTTGTCATTAGTCTTTCTTGAAATCTTCTCCACAGCCAGTGCTGTGCAAGTTGAGGAAAGCCAGACTGGTGCCTCAAGGAACTGCAGTCCACCCCAGGAGGCTTATGAGCTCTCTAGGTTACAGAGAAATTACCCTGCCATATGGGAGCCGTGCAGAGCACTGCACTACTATGGACAACAGAAGTTATGTAAACTCTAGTGTTAATAGCTGAAAAGTGCAAGTAGTCAAATCGGTGAAGGTAATTTTATTTTCCTAAGTGCATGGTTACCTCCAGGAAAAGAGAATGGAATTTTCCTTAAATAAATCTGACACTTTCAAGTATAATCCTCATCAACTTTGCCCCAGCATAAAATTGCTGCTTCAACAGTTCTTCTAATAATTTTTGTTTTGGAGTTAGAGGAAGAATTTGTAGCTACAGTTTTATGTTTCCAGTGCTATGCAGATAGGATGAAAATGGTACCCTCAAACTTTGTATGAATTGTCAGAGTGGTATACTGGCAAGATCTTGAGTAGAGGTTCGCTGTATGATATTGGGGGAGCTGGACTGCTGACTTCTGTAGCTTCTAGGATTTAAAAAGAAGCAGAAAAGCTTCAGGCCACCTCTACCAAAAGGAAGTTCATAAACTGCCCTATGATAACACTAGAGGGAAATGTTTTGCAACTTCTGCCTGCTTAAAAAAAAAAAAAAAGGCAATTTGCTTAAAAAGGCAAGCTAAGTCTAGTGAGATAATGAGTGTGAGAATACTTTTAAATTTAAGATTAGAGCAATGCAGTAGGATATATACATCCTGATCTGGAATTAAATAATTCCTTACAGGAAGGAGAAAAGGTCTATTGCCATAAAGGCTGCTTCCCTACCAACATGTAGAAACAAAACACTGAAAGTTGAACCAAAGCAGCTTTGCACAAAATTAATGCCTAATTAACTCGTACAGATGAAGTTTAAACTGCTAGGGCTCAGTTTGGAGACTGGGAGCATAGTAAACTTTGTTATGTCTGGGCTATCTTAATGTGCAATAAGAATATTCTATTTTGGCATGTGTTGTTCAAAGTGGTACAAGTCAAGTCAGGAAAAGCCACTTTACAGTTAGTGGGAATTCCTGTGTTTAATTTGTTGCTTTCAAATTTATATGAAAGGGAATAAAATTTTTCTGTGACTTTTTTTGGTGTTTTGTAGTAGAAGATTCTGAGGAAGTCAAAGTATCAATCTGAAGTTGCCTTGAAAGTTCTCATGTAACAACTTCACATAAGAAGAATAAAATCAGTCTCTTGCCTGTGAGTGCAGATGCAGTAACTACAACTTCCCGCAAAGCATTAATGTAGGAAGTTGCATAGTTTTTCAGCAGAGGATTGCAAAAATGCTCTTCAGGCTGTGTTGCAAGACACTTGTACTTCTAAAAAATTACATACCTTTAGTCCAGAGATCAAAAACTGAATCGTTTTTAAAATAGTTGTGTTTACACCATATCAAGGTGAATGTTTGATGCAAACTGTCTTTCAATAATTGCTATAAATACATTTGGAGAAACTGTTTTCTTCCTAATTGCTTCCTTAGAAAAGAGCAAGAGATTAAGGGTAGTGTACAGACCACAAGCAAAGTGAGGTGTAGCTGCAGGCAGAATTATTTATTCCCACTAATTACTAAGTGAGGGGAGTGTAAGAGGCACAGTGGAGAAGCTTTTAGACACAACTTTTCAAATAGAAGTTTGTTGCTTCCAAGCTAAATGCAAGTTGAGAACAATTTTTAAGCTCGGAGAAATGTTTGTAAACTTGTATTTAACTTCAAAGTTTGCTTCGGTCTCTCACCTAAAGGATCTCAGAAACTTGTCTCTTTTCCTTTACCTACAAATAATGCCATTGCCTATTTTCAATAGCATACAACAGCAGTGCTCACTCGTGGTGGAGAACGCAGCATTTCACTAGATGTCCTTCAGTTAGCTGGAGCTCATTTCTCTTGCTGTATGCTGGAAAGGCATTTTGACTGGCTCATTGGTTTCCTCAGGCAGGGAAACTGGATGATGACAGTGCTTCTCACTTTTGGTACTAATTGGGAAAGAGATGATGGAGTGAGACGATAAGACTACTCCAAACAAATTGCACTAGCAGCCAAGTAATGTTCAGCCTGGACTTGCTACAGTGGAGAGGAATGTGGGTGTGTGTCCCTTGAATCATCCAGTTGTCCACTAGCCAGAGGATGTGTATTTCTTTGCAATGTATGTGCAGTGTGGAGTGGGAGAAGGCCTCTGGGAAATTCCTGCCAGATAGTTCAGCTCCTCAGAACAGCTACAAAAGCTTTGAAATTTACTAATGTCATAAATGCTTATTATTTCCTCTGAGTGGGTTCTGAAAAAGAATCATTGACACTAATCTGGTGGTGAACTGAAGCTGGTGGGTGAGAGAAGGAAAAGTTGCTGGAAAAATTCGTGTCACAGTTACTTTAGGAATGTATTTAGTATAGTCTGTCCCTTTCACTTGCATTAAAGGAAACTATGATCTAAATCAGTATCGTATACTAAACATGGTTTTGTAATACAGAAAGACCTAGTTCAGATGGATGCTTTGCCTAGGTACATCATTGAAAGACAGAGGTCTTCTTTCTGAGGTCCAGCTGTAGTAATGCAAGAGGTGGTAGGTTCCTGCTGCTGCTGCAAGATCATTAGGGAAGTCCAGTGGTTTTAATTGCTTAAAGCAATCCATCTGTCCCTTGCTTGAAGCAGTCTAGTGATTGCTCAGGTTGGCTGCTGCTAGGTCAGAGAGATGCTGGCTTTTGGTGAGAAGTAATGCTGGGCAGCTGGGACTGGTGGTTCCTGTAACACGTACACAATATGTTTGTGTTGGGGAGGTAGGAGAGGGTCTCAGAAATTTGTTGTACCACCTTTTGGAGCAATGTAGGACTAAAGAAAGGTAGTCCTTCAGCTGTGTAAGCAGCTGTAGCTCTTTTCTTTATGCTGGGCTAGATGGGCTTGGCTGGTTTACCTTTCTTCGGAATTAATTTTAATTGTTTATGAGACAAAAAGTATTTATATTTTAATGATTCTATAAACTGTCAGTCATTTTTATTCCTTTGTCTTCTCAAGGACACTGAAAATGTAATAAAACAAATTGCCTGTATGTCTTGCTTTTGTTTGGCTAAATCCATGCAAAACTCCAGAAGAGCCATCTACCCAGCTGCCGGTAGTCAGTCTGAACTGCACACTTCGTAGCTAGGTGACTCCTGCCTCCCACAGTGGATGAATCAGTTCTTCAGAGCCCAGTTGATAGCAGTGATGCTTCTCCAAGACGTTTAGTTTTTCCAAGTGAAAAGCTGGTGTGGGTTGATAGGCTTTTTTGATAATGTGCAATTGTACTAATGAAATGTACTCTTTATAACTTAAGCTTGTTCCCCCTCACAGCAGGACTTACTCTGGCTTTCTCTCATCAAAACAAGTGTGAAATAGCTCATATTCAAATTTTATAGTTCATTTGAAGCAAAACTTCTGAGTTGATTTCTTTCCCCTTTCCCAACTGAGTTTTGGAGCTTTTCTTCTACTTAGCTACATTTATACTCGGTGTCTCCAATCTACTGCAGTGGCCACTGTAGTCTAATGATAAAGCTAGGAACTAGTGTGGTGAAAAGCAGAAGGGAAAATAATACATAACTAGTAATCTAAACCATTAAATTTCAACATTGTCAATGATTTTAGCTTTAAAAGAAAAATTACCTTGATTATGTCAAATAGCTTTGCCCTATGTTGGTATATATAATACCTTCCCAACACTACTGTGCTGGTAGTCTGCTCCTCAGACTTTTGAAATTTCCAAGGTTGAGTGGTAAGAGGGAACTAGAGCTTACAGAGGCCAGAGTGACACAGCTGGCCCTTAGTTTCCTGGGCATGCAGTGGTTTCTCCCATTTCCCCTAGCATGCTCACTAAATTGCTGTATCAGGCCGTGTCATCACTGTGTCGGGAAAAAAAATAAAGGGTTGTTTTTTCTCAAATTTTGTTTTTCTTGAACAGTTTTCAATTCAGGTGACAAGGAGATTCCTGAATGTGTACACAGACTCCTGAGTTTTAAGGGTTTTTTCACTGACAGCATGCTCACAATCCTTTCCTGTTCTACTTCATACGATGGATGAATTTTGTTTTTTATTGTTATGGTCTTCTGTGGTAGGGTGGCTGCCATATTGCACTTTCAATGCATTTCATATCCCTGATACCTGAACAGGCTCAAAGATGGAAAACCCATTTTTAAATGAGTGAAAAAGACATTTAAGCTGCTAATAGTTCACAAAATTGTCAGTTTTCTAATACACTGGCGACACTAGATGGAATTGCTACTCTAAATGGAGTGCAAGATCTGACTTCCTTTTAAAATTTTCTACTGCAATAATAATTTTTAATTGTTTCTATATTTGATGAGACTACTCTGAAGCCATATGACAGGTCAATATCTTGTCAGTTAGCCTTTGTTAGTAAAGGAGGACATTACAGATGCAAAGGAAGGACAACTGAAGCAAGAATCAATTGTGGAATATATACCCTCAGGTACAAAGAGGAAAAATAACTACAGAGTACTTTTAAGTAGCTATAGATTTGGATTTTGCAGCAGGGATGTTCTTTAAGCTGTACTGGCAACTTATTATTGGTGATTGATTGTTTCTAGCTTTTGAATGGGGAATAGCTGGTAGATGGGCCATTTCTGACTTGGTAAACCAGCAGTGTGAGATTAAGAAAACTTCACCGCTTTCTTAAGTTTCCATCAAAGTAACACTGTTGCTTTATTACTGATAGATGTAAGTCTAGGAATCAAATCTCATATTGGATGTTTTTGATTAAGGAAGGGTGAATAGAGTGAGATGCTCTTTTTCCTGTAAAAGATGACAGCATTTTATAGCCACTGGTGAAAACTGAGATGAGTGCTGTTTCAGTACTCTGGTAAACACAATTTAGAAAAAGGTGCCGCTTTGCTCAGCTATCTTGACTCTGAAAATGTATGCTCTCTCCTACCCCATAGGAATTATTTATGTTAATCACTTGGTTACAGTGTCCTTCTCATAGCCTTTCAGTGACCTTAGCTAATGAGGCCCTCCAAGACAGGAAGGAACAAAGAGAAATTCTGAAGCAGCAAGGGCAAAGGTGGTGTTGCCCAAGGGTTTTTAATGTCTTCCTCTTTGTAATGTGCATTTAGCTTCCATACCCAAAGGAGCTTTTTTTTTTCCTCAATATTAGATCTTCTTTTGCCATATTTTCCCCATACTGCTTTCCTTCTTCACACTTGACTGAATGCCCTTCAGCAAACGGCTTCCAGTTATTGTCAGAAAAACTGTCTGTAATCCTAACAAGTTTATAGCTTTGGTTTTGGCCTCAATACTACACAAACAATTAAAAAAAACCCAAACAAAATCATAACAAGGCTATAGGAATATGTTGACTGGTCTGTTGGCTTCTTTCCTACTTATGCCACTGTCTTTAAAAAGCACCTTTTATCATTAGACTTACTGGTTTTGCGAGTGGTGTTTGTTCTGTTTTGGATACTCAATCATAATGATAAATCTTATCTGAAAACCACCTCTTTTGGCAGGTAAATTTGAAGAAAAAGAAGATAAAGTTCCAAAGTTGGACCACTTAAATAGCCTGGCATACACATGCAATGTTAATGTGGTATTGAACAAGAAAGATTTGCTTAGAATGGAAATGCTGCTTTTGGAAAACTTCAACTGGAACCTCTGTATTCCAACCCCAGCACACTACATTGACTACTACCTCTATGTGTCCATTGGTGAGAATGACCTTCACAATGGCTGGCCAATCACTTCACTGACTAAAATCAAAGATTTTTTGGAGAAATATGCGTATTATTTCCTTGATTTCTCAGTGCAAGGTAAGAGGCTTGGTTTTAGGCTAGAATGATCTTCCATTTGGCAAAGGGCAAAAATCTGAAAGAGGCAACTGCTTTAAAACTTGTAACATGGACCTCACAAAATTACCTGTGGAGAATGGTTCCTCTTTGCAGTTATTTCAGATGGCAAATGGTACAGTGTCCCTTCCTTGTGCGTAAGCCTCTTGTCTCTTTTAAAAAAATCTTTAGATAATTTTTTTTTTCTTCAGCTGAGAATACTAATTGGTGAGACTGTCAGAAATGGGGCCTAATTTTTGATCTGCCACAGGCTATGAGCTACTGCCAGTTGCAGATACAATATTATGCCAATCAATGTGTGAATCTTTTTAATGATGTTTTTCAGAGGGTCCTGTGCTGCAAGACATGACATATTTAGAATGACGGGGCTTTTAATGATTTGGTTTGCAGCACTGCTTCCACTATCTCCCTGTGTGAAAGGCATTGAACTGTGGCATCCTCATAAGTCATGTTCAATGCTAATGTAAATAGATGTGTAATTGGCAATACCTAACTTTGGTTCAGTTAAGACCAATCTACAAATTTCAGCATAGTCTATTTTGTGGCTTTTTCAGAAATGAATGAAACTAACGTGAAACCTTGACAGCACTTACAAACATGCAGTACAAAGATCTTCAGGAAAGCTTCATCCAGTTTTGTGAGACTTTTTTGTGGTCATGAGTTCATACTCTGAGATGTGTGGAACGAAGTTGTGGATTTAATTTTAATTTTGTCCTATTTTGCCATGTATACACATACTAGGCTCACTGCAGTGATTAGTAGGAGTATAATTCTTGCTTTGGTTTTTCTTCTGTAGATCACACTTTCCTACATTTTCGCCCATCTCTGATTGCTGCAGCTTGTGTGTGTGCCTCACGTATCTGTATGCAGATTTCTCCTGCCTGGACAACACAGCTCGAATTGCTGACATGTTATTCCTGGGAACACCTTGCCCGGTGCATTGAAATGATGCTCATGTAAGATCAGAGGGAAAGTAACCTGTTTGTGCTCTTGGGAAGACATTCATACCCCTCCCCCCCTTTTTTTTTTTAAGTAAATGTTTAGCCAGAATTCTGATGGAGATTACTAATGTAATACTGTACTATCTTAAGTTTGGGGAGAGGAGTAAAAGGGGAAAAAATCAGGTCACTACAAATTCTGTATTTTAACAATATTTGCAATGCAGAACGGAGTGCACGGTTTAGTGTTCATTGTATTTTCTTGTACTGTCTGTGTGATTGGACAGAAGCTTTTACTGATGGCTGCTGGAAGCTTTTTTCCCTTTCTTTTCTCATTGTACCTGTGATACACTTGCTGCAGAGAGACACCAGTGTATCTCTAACATCAAGAATACAGTAGGGAGACATTTCAGAACTATTATTTGTTTTTTCCAGTAAAGGACATGACTGCTTCCAAAATTTCCTCCCTACAGCAGAGCCCACTGAAGCTAAATCAGACTGCCTGGGGTGTTGTCAAGTTTTGACTGTCCCTCAGGATGGAGGCTTCCTAACCTCTCTGGGCAACTCACGCCAGTGCTTCACCATTCTTATGATAATCAAAAGTGTGAAAATGTTTCTTCCTAATGTTTAAGAGGAATTTGTCTCATTCCCTTACAGCTATGCATTTTAGTACTCTGCAAATACTCACACAGACTATTTCAAAATGTCTGTGTTGTGTACTTAAAGTTCCAAAAACATACCTGTGATGCAAAATGATCCACTAACCTGTTGTTAGTATGTGAAGATTGCAGCAGGAGAATTAGAAATTAATTGTGGAAGCAACTGAGGATTACCATAAAGATAGCTAGGGCCAAAAAGCTGCTGATGCAGCCTGACTGCTGAAAACATTGGGATATATGCAAGCTCTGTGAACTTCTCTCTTTTGATAAATCTTACTTATTTGTTTCAGATATTATGAGAATGACATCAAAGAAGCCAGTAACATAAAAAAGCAAGTAACAATTCAGCGTCAAGAACAGGAAGCAGAGGGAAATCTGAGCCATCAAGTCACTACTCAGGTTCTCTTCCAGCACTGCAGCTATCACCCTTTAGCCCCACATGCAGCTACACTTTCCCAGTTCCAGTCACCAGTGCAAGATTTGTGCTCTGCTTATCGTGACTCCTTACAGGCCCACAGGCCCAGTGGTCTTCTTGCTGGGAGTGCTGACGGCTCACTGCACTCCTGTGCAGCTCTTCAGGCCATCTGCCCAGACTCGACCCATCCAAACGCTCACTGCTGTGCAGGCGGCATTAGGAACAGAGCCCAGACGCTGCATTTCCAGGGCTTATGGCAGTAGTTACTTCAGTGGTCAGCACTCATATGCAGCTGGGTGTTTCGATGGATAAATATGGATGGGAGAAAAAGGTGATATGAGTAGAAAGTGCAGAAGAGACCCTGTGTGTGATACATGTATCTGAATGAAAACCATGAAGGAACAGTATTTTTATGACTTTCTCTTTCAGAGGATGTTGATTTGGATCCACTGATCACTGGAACCTGGGTGCCTTTCTGCCAAGGGCTAGCTTTCTACCTTTGGTTCTTAGTGAGAGACAGACAGAAATTCATTAATATACCTCACTTGGTCTCACTTTGAGAGGCACCTGCGAAGAAACCCTGTGGAGATGACTTCCTTCTAGTCTTCAGTTAGTGGCCTGTCAGAGCTGGCTGAAAGATTGTGTGGAAGAGTTGCTTCAGGCTGGAGCATTTGTTGAATTTCTAGCCCAATAGTGATGTACTTGGGGATTGTTGGTGGAAAACAAGAGTGCTCTCCTCTCTGGTGACATGCTGCTCAAACAGTGGCAGCTATACTACTGGAAGCTTCTACTAAAATATATTGAAATTGGTTATCAGTTAAATGTGAACTTTGATAATGCAGAAATCTGTGTAGAACATTTCCCGTTTTCTTTGAGCAGGAGTGATAGTTCAGGAGTGTGACTTTAGAATAAAAGAAAAAAAAAAAAAAAGAGGCCAGAAGACTATCAAATAATAATTGACTTAAAATTCTCTTGGAATCTAAATATGGTGCTTCTGAACAGAACAACCCTCTGTCTTCAAGTAGTTTAGAGACAAACCCCCTTTAAATCATCTCTTTGATCTTTAACATGCTGCTGTTTTTGAGACTGGAAATTATTGCTAGTAAAATTGTTCATGAGCTTTATCAGGGATTTAATATTACTTGAAGAAATCCTCTGGGAAGAACTCTTGAAAGGTTCACTGCCTTCAGTTATTTAATCTTTTGGGCTCGATGACTTGTGGCAGTAGTTCAGGTGCAAAACAGAGGAACTGGTATTAATGTGGGCAGAGACAGAGAACTGGTTAACTACTGTGAAATTATAGAGTTTGAATGCAATGTTAGATGTTGCTGCCTTAGGTTTTTTTAAATACCATCTCAGCATTCTCTTGGAAAATGTAGCTAGTCAATTCACAATCCACTGCTTCCTTGCAAGGGGACACACACCTACTGTCACATATCCAAAGGTTTCTTTCTCAAGTGAAACCAGGGATGATTATTCAAAAAACTGTATGGGCCTTTTTTTTACATCAATGTAGGTATTTACAAGAAATGGACTTGTGCAAATGTGAAACTTCAGTTTTGATATATGCAACTGCTACTGTGAACTTGTTTGAAGGCAGTACTCTTGGTTTGTCTTTTCTCTGAAAGTTCTCAGGACAGCAACACAAGTAATGTGCAATATGCTCTTACTGCCTTGGGGCAATTTTTTCAAGTCATGTCACAGTGCTGTTCTAGATTCTATTTTTAGAGAATTGTTTTTAAAGGTATTTTGGGGTGGAGGGGGAAAAAAATAGCATGCATGCTAATGCATGTTTGTGTAACTGTCTTCTGCGAATGCAGCTTTTAGTATCAAGTGAATGATTTCTTCCATTCAGCAGGCTAGAGGAATCTTCTTGGTTTACTATTTTTAAAAAATACAAACTGTAAAAGAAGAGCCAGTACTCTTCACAAATTAGTTTAGAAGTTTAGAGAACTTAGGTCATCTTTTATTCTGTTGGCTTTTTATTTATATTACACTTTATTTTCAGAAGACTTTAATGTATTTCTTTGTCATTTGACAGACATAAAGAACAACATATATGTGTCTGTACTGGTATATAGTTTTGGGGTCTTATCACCCTTATTTGTGTCACGTGTAGTGTTACACTTAGCCTGCCATTGTGCTTAATTGTGAAAATACTTGCTAAGTTCCCAGTGACGGTTTCCAATAAACAAGCATACAGCTGAAGTACACTTTTCCTCCCAGTTTTTGGTTTGTCTTCATCTTACCTTTAAAGAACCAGCAAAGAATACAGGTTATTTACCTTTAAAAATACTTGATCTGAGCACTTGGAGCATTTTACAGAACAGAAGAGTGACAGGACAAACATGATGGAATGACCTTGCCAAATAATAAATTGTAAAGGCAGATCAGGAATTTGGTCACTGCACAAGAAAGGCAGAAAATGTGTAGAGACAAGGTAGAGAGATAAAGTAAGATCATACTGTTCCAGCTCACGTGGCCACGGTGTCTTGGGGGTGCCATCTTACCTGAGGCGACTGAAAGGCTGAATAGGAGAGTGCAGTTGTACATTCATTCTTCTGATGACTGTCACTTCTAAGCAGGAATTGTTTGTTGATTTCTAGGTTCTGTTTGTGCTGTTGTATCATGGGTGGAGTGGGGGCGATTACTTTCCTTTTCAGAGACTGCTGTTGGACTTATTTATGAGAATTTGAGTTTGCCCAATACTGCTTCAATTGACAGTTCTGTCCAGAATGCTTTAAATGTTGGTGGCAATTTACTTTCTAGGTGAATACTTTTTCATTAGACTGCATTTTTTTTTTCCTGAAGAAGAGTGAATGTAGAAGATTTCAGCCAACATAAAGACACTTTTCTGAAGATATTTGCCACCACTCATTTTCGAGGGAGCTGCAGAGTTAAATTTTAAAACAAACGGATGCAAAACTTCTAACCCTGTGATTGTGCTGTTTGATGCTGTCAGGTGCAGCACAGTCATTCATCAGAATTTGTACATGCCGATTAACTTGTTTTTCCCTGGTAGACTTCGAAGTAAGAAAGGCTGCTGCAAAAGCAAATACAGTGAAAGATGGCTAGGAATACCAAATGGAGTATGGCACTAGTTTCCTTCTTATAGGGGCTGATGTTGCAGGTGTAAGTAAATAAAATAGAAAGCTGACATTAAAATTAAACTGTATTAGTGAGTCCTGACAAGAGCAGCAGCAGCAGGGATACAGGTGGAAAAAAGTCTGCTAATGTTTATCAGCCATCACAGGTTAAAATGAACTTATTTTAAAAAAAATTTACAGTTGCAGCTTGGTGCTTTTTTAAACATGAAAGGAAAACTACTACTATCTCTCTATTTGTGAAAAAGCCACAACATGGTGTTAGCAAAGCTGTCAAAGCCACCGTTTGGTCCTTCTGTTTTAGCAAGTTTTACGCTGTAGCAAACAATTTAAAGTTGATATAACGCTCTTTGATCAGTATAATCAACTCATCAATAAAGTGTATAGGTTTTGCTTAATAAAATTTAGTGCTTTTTTTTACTGGGAAGTCTAGACACTAGCAAATGTGGATGGATTGTGATGGATTCTTAGTGATAATTTTGCACAAGTTTTTTCTTCTTTTAAAGTGGTGTTTAGTTTGGTCTCTATATTGCTGCTTCAGGAGAAGCCTAAAGAATGTCCTCTAGTTGAAAAGACAGCAATGTTTTTTTTCCATGTGAAAGCACCACTTACATGCTTTCTAGAGAGCCTAGACAAAAATCCCACCCTTCCTTTCAAAGCACTGTTTTATGTATAATGGAGAAATGATCACATGCAGAATGTGAAAACTAAATGCGCCAGCTGCAGAACACTAAATGTAGTTGCTTCTTAAACTGGAATGAGTGGTGGCTGGTTCCATTTTGTTTTCAAAGCAAGGAATTGTCATGTATGAGCATCATCTCTTTCAGAACAGGTTCTTTTGTGTGTGAATGGTTCAGACCAAACAAACACCACCATCCCCTAGTTCTAGTGTGAGATTTAGTTTCCTGTAACAGTGAAAATTCATTCATATTCAGTGTCTACCTGTGCCTAATTCTACAGGTCATCCCAAGTAGTTGGTTGTGTTGAATATGATGGGCACATCCTAAATAAAATGTTCTAACATGTCACTTTATTATTTTACTAGCTGACTTGAACCCAGATCAGGAGTGGGCCTGAAGAAATCCCTTATTCTCAGTATGTTCTCATATAACTGAAGAGGCTGAATTTCAACAAAATTCTGTTAAAGCAGTAGATTTGTTGCAAGTACCAGAATGTATCAAGATTGAACAGGTTTCAGATTTGAGTAGTGTTTAATTAGATTTCAGTATTATGCTCTGCTTCGGAATCAGAATAAGTAATATATTAAGCAACACCTGGTCATAAGACATGTGCAGTCTGTTTTGGGTAAAAACTGATGGAGCCTGGATGAATCTGGAAAGCTTAATAGTCTCTGTTGATGAAAAACATAAAAAGAAATTTAAAGCTTTTTTAATGCAAGATACTTGAAATTATTTGGATTATCAGTCATGTGCATAGGCCCATCAGATGAACTTCAGGGTACACAAGACACATGCCCTGGTCAGTTACTGATTAGCTTGTGAGGGCAAGCAGCTAGGTGGATCCAGAAGGCAAGAGAGCTGGAAAAAGGAGTGTGAAAAGGGAAGAGCTTTCTAGACCAATTACTGGCCAGAAGTGACTTGAAACAGTGAATCCAAAACCTGTATTATATTTTAATTCCTGCTGTGTTCAACTAAA